CTTGTAAGCCCGGACCTGCGGCCTAGAAAACAGTGCGTTAATGTTCGAAATAAGGCAAACAGAGTATTGGGTTTTATATCTAGAAGTGTAAGTAACAAGAGTGCAGAGGTCTTATTGCAACTATACCTTGCGCTAGTCAGGCCGCACCTCGATTATGCGGTTCAGTTCTGGTGCCCCTATTATAGAATGGATTTAAATTCACTAGAGTCGGTGCAGCGAAGAATGACAAAAATGATTCCGGGACTTAGAAACCTTCCATATCAGGATAGGTTAAAGAAACATAACTTGCATTCCCTAGAAAGACGAAGAGTGCGGGGAGATATGATAGAAGTATTTAAGTGGGTGAGAGGAATCAATAAAGGGGATATAGATAAAGTTCTTATAATATCCGAGCAGGATAGGACTCGAAGCAACGGATTCAAGTTGGATAAGTTTAGGTTTAGGAGGGAGATAGGAAGAAACTGGTTCACAAATAGGGTGGTGGACTAGTGGAACAAGCTTAGCAACTTTGTAGTAAGTGCGGGAACTCTGGAAAGTTTCAAAAGAAGGCTAGATAGGCAAAGGCAGAACATACCATACAAAAAACTCAGATCAGACAACAATGACCCTAAATCGATAAATAATTATTTAAAGAACATCATTGGCCAAAGGAAGGCTATAGGTAGAAGGATAAATCGTGGCGAAATTCACCTCCGGGACTATTATAGGGTATTGGCGAGTAGAGTTAAAACCGAGATAAGGAAAGCAAAGAGGAATAATGAGGTAAGGATAGCAAGGGAGGCGAAGACAAACCCCAAAGGATTCTACCAAATGTATCAAACTAAAACACGAGAAAAGATTGGACCAATACGGTCAGACTCCGGCGAGCTCACTGATAACGACGGAGAAATGAGCAATAATTTGAATAAATATTTTTCAACAGTTTTCACCACCGAAAATCTAAACATGATACCCGAGGCACCGACTCTATTCAGAGATAGTGAAGAAAACAAATTAAGTGAGATAGTAGTGACTAGTAACGATGTTAGTAAGCAAATAGACAAACTAAAGCCTAATAAGTCACCTGGTCCCGATGAGATATTTGCCAGAGTATTAAAGGAATGTAAGGAAGAGCTTAGTATGCCCTTAGCAAAGTTGTTTAACATGTCCTTAAAAACAGGTGTAGTACCAGAATCCTGGAGGATAGCGAATGTAATACCGATTTTCAAGAAGGGGGATAGATCACTATCCTCTAACTACCGCCCAATCAGTCTAACATCAATAGTAGGCAAATTACTGGAAGCAATCATTTCAAACTCTATTCGAAATCACCTGGAGAAGCACCGATTGATCAATGATTCCCAGCATGGCTTCACAAGCGGACGTTCTTGTCTCTATTAACATTCTTTTCATCAGTTTTCGAATCGGTGGACGAGGGGCACAATTATGATGTGGTATATCTCGACTTTAGCAAAGCGTTCGACAGAGTCCCCACGAAAGACTAATTAGAAAGGTAGAAGCTCATGGCATCAAAGGTGACATCCTTAAATGGATTAGGGCGTGGTTACAGGACAGGAAACAGCGAGTGAGCATTAACGGCACTAAGTCCCATTGGAGCAACGTCACAAGTGGAGTTCCCCAAGGCTCAGTACTTGGACCATTATTATTTATTATATACATAAACGACATAGATATCGGCATAGACAGCAACATAAGTAAATTTGCTGATGACACTAAAATAGGACGTGTTATTAAATCTGACGAGGACTCGCAAAACTACAGGAAGATCTAAACAAATTTTTCGAATGGTCTGAAAAATGGCAGATGAAATTCAACGTGGACAAATGTAAAGTACTCAGTATAGGAGATGTAAACAGGGAAACCAGATACCAGATGAACAACGATGCCATAGAGAAATCCGACTGCGAGAGAGATTTAGGAGTAATGATAAGTAGGAACCTTAAGCCAAGTAAACAATGTGTTTTTGCTCGTAACAAGGCTAATAAAGTACTTGGGTTCATACAAAGGAGTGTTAGTTACAAGACTAGCGAGGTCATCCTAAAACTGTATCTTGCTCTTGTGAGACCACACCTGGATTACGCAGTTCAGTTCTGGTCACCGTATTACAGAATGGATATAGAATCCTTGGAAAGAATTCAGAGGAGAATGACAAGACTAATCCCGGGCATTAGGAACCTTGAGTATAGAGACAGGTTAAAGCATCTTAATTTGCACTCCCTCGAGAGACGTAGAGCGAGGGGCGACCTGATAGAGGTGTATAAGTGGAAGACAGGGCTAAACAAAGGGGACATTACAAAGGTACTCAAATTATCCAACCAGGAGCGAACTCGTAACAATGGTTTTAAATTAAACAAATTTAGATTTAGGCGTGAAATAGGTAAACACTGGTTTGGAAACAGAGTAGTGGATGAATGGAACAAGTTACCAAATATCATCATCAACTCGAATACGCTGAATTGCTTCAAACATAGGTTGGATGCTCATATGAGCAATAGGGGTTGGGTGTAAACGGGACTGCCCAGTATGGGCCAATAGGCCCGCTGCAGTTTCCTCCATTCTTATGTTCTTATGTTCTTATGACTCCTTATTTTCTTATGTTTCTTATGTTCTTATGTGGTGTAGTACTTCCCTCACAGATGGTGTTATGAGGGGCCTGAATTGGTGTAATAATTCCCTCACAGATGGTGTTATGAGGGGCCTGATGTGGTGTAGTAATTCCCTCACAGGTGGTGTATGAGGGGCCTGATGTGGTGTAGTAATTCCCTCACAGATGGTGTTATAAGGGGCATCACATGGCATAGTAATTCCCTCACTGATGGTGTTATGATGAGCATCACGTGGTGTAGTAATTCCCTCGCAGGTGTTATGAGGAACTTCACATGGTGCTGTAGCAACTGATTCACAATGCGGTGTTGTGCATAATGGGGACACCACGTGGTCCGTTGTCACAGGAATTCACTCACTCAAGTGGGTGAGGTGTGGTCCCAGACCTCTCTATCGTGGAGTCTCAGGGGAATTATCACTGGGTACCTGGGACCTCACTGTGTGAAGGTTAGCTTGGCTCAGACTCAACTGCTGAGTTGTTTTTCACTGACTTAAGCACTGTTCACCACTATTCAACACTGGTTCCATTCCTTTCCCAAATGAAATAGTAACTTCTGGCGAGAACTTGTATATATTCCGGTGGGGAGGAGGGTTCAGGGGAGGGAGTTGGTATGGGCCAACATAACAGTTGACGTGGCTGCTGCTGAGCAGCGCCAGGTGCGTCTGACCCGTCTTGACCCGTCGGTGTGTGTGTGTGTGTCAGTTATTTATTGAGGGTCACAATTACATCACAAAAGGGAAGAGGTCAACAAGATTTAGTAGAGATTAATGACCAAAGGAGGAGTGATTTATATATCAGTTTTAGGAAATAAAGTCAAGGAAGTTCAGTACAGATAAACATCTTAATATCGTTCCTTTGACCTCTATCAAGTCTCATTTAATATCCTCCTTGACATTTCATTTTCCAACACTCAAGGAAAAAATATTTGATCATAATTTTTCGAAAGTTTACTTTATTTATTTTAGTTTTTTTTTACTTTTTGATCAAGATATGCAATATTTACTATCATTTTTTATTAGTTATCAAGGGAAATGGAATGACTTCGAGCAGTTTGATGCGTAGCGAAAAATACTATTATAGAAATGAACACAACACTCATACAATTACATCCACACACACACACACACACACACACACACACACGCTTACACTCACGCTCATAATTATTCTTACACTCATAATTACACTCGCACTCATAATTTCACTCACACCCGTAAGTACAATCACAAACACACACACACACTTACACTCATTCATAATTACACACACGCATAATTACACTCACGCCCATAATTACACTCACACACACACAATTACACTCACACTCATAATTACACTCACACTCATAATTACACTTACACTCATAATTACACTCACACTCATAATTACACTCACACACACAATTACACTCACACTCATAATTACACTCAAACTCAGTATTACACTCACACTCATAATTACACTCACACTCATAATTACACTCACACCCGTAAGTACAATCACACTCATAATTACACTCACACTCATAATTACACTCACACTCATAATTATGCTCACACTCATAATTATACTCACACACACAATTACACTCACACTCATAATTACACTTACACTCATAATTACACTTACACTCATAATTACACTTACACTCATAATTACACTCACACTCATAATTACACTCACACCCGTGAGTACAATCACACTCATAATTACACTCACACTCATAATTACACTCACACTCATAATTACACTCACACACACACGTCATGTGTCATAAACAAAATCTAAACTTCATCTAGAAATTAAAGAATTTTTTTTTCTTACCTCAGAAGGCGTCCTGTGTGTTCATCTTAGGGCTTCTAGTTGGGGCATCTTCCGCCACTTACGGCAATGGTGGAGGCTGCTCTGGCGGTGGCTGCGGTAGTGGAGGCTCTGCTAATGTAGCCGTAGCAGGTGGTGGAGGTGGCGGCGGGGGTGGCTTCGGAGGTGGTGGCGGTTTCGGCGGTGGAAACGGAGGAGGAGACGTCAATGGTGGTGGCGGTGGCGGTGGCTTCGGCGGCGGTAATGGCGACGGCGGCGGCATCAGCGGCGGTGGCGGCTCTGGAGGAGGATTCGTGTCTGGTGGTGGAGCCGGAGCCATCATCACTCGTGGCGACGTCTTAGCAAGAATCATCACTGGCGGCGGTTCCGCTGGGTTCATTACTGGTGATGGTTCTTCAGAAGGCATCATTACAGGTGGTGGAACTGGAGGCATCATTTCTCGCGGTGGGGCTTCACTTGGAGTCATCGCTGGCGGCGCTTCTGCTAGGTTCGTGTCTGGTACTAGTTCTTCAGGTGGTCTTATCTCTGGTGATAATTCCGGAGGCTTCATTTCTGGTGGGGACTCCACTGGTGGTTACTCTGGTGGTTCATGTCGAGGTTCTTCAGGAGGTTTCATTTCTGGTGATAATTCCAGAGGCTTTATCTCTGCTGGTGGTTCCGGAGGTTTCATCTCTGGTGGTTGTTCCGGAGGCTTCATTTCTGGTGGCGATTCCGGAGGCTTTATCTCTGCTGGTAGTTCCGGAGGTTTCATCTTTGGTAGCGGTTCCGGAGGCTTCATTTCTGGTGGCGATTCCGGAGGCTTTATTTCTGGTGATAATTCCAGAGGCTTCATCTCTAGTGGTGATTCCGGAGGCTTCATCTCAAACGAAAGTTCCGGAGGCTTTATTTCTGGTGGTAATTCCAGAGGCTTCATCTCTAGTGGTGATTCCGGAGGCTTCATCTCAGATGACAGTTCAGGAGGCTTTATTTCTGGTGGTAATTCCGGAGGCTTCATTTCTGGTGATGGTGGTTCTGGAGACATCATCTCTGATGGTGGTGGCTCTGAAGGCTTCATTTCTGATGGTGGTGGTTCAGGAGGCTTACTATCTAGTGGTGGTGGCTCCGGTGGGTCTTCACGTGGCTACCTTCCTCCTTCAAGAAAGTAAACAATGTTCTTCTGACTGCCAACACCCTCGACGATCTTTGCCCAAAAAGGATGGAAAACGTTTCGCTTTATCAACTAAAACCTTTAATATTTGTCAAAATGTCTTTGTTTATTATGTCTACAAAGTATTTTTTTTCTGTAGAATATTGATCCAATGTTTAATAAATATATGACTATTATTTTTATAAAGCTCTAAGATAGTCTAAGTGTTAACAAACTAAGGAAATATAATGCTTTTAATCGTAAATTATGTTTTAATTCCTAGTGTTTATTTGCTGTTGTTGTGGTGATGGGATTTGATGCTGTAAATTATGATTGATCTTTATTAAACATTGTCAACTAATATTTTCAATAATATTTTCTTCAGTTTCTGCTAAGAAAGCTTTTGTGTGTGGGTATAATAATATTTTAATGAATTTATAGTAAATCAATCAATCAATGAGAGTACCATCCTCATATCTGAGGATTGGCGACCACAGTCCTCCACTCTAAACGTTTTTGGGGCTGTTTTTACCAATCCTCCAAAATTTGCTACTCCTTGAGGACTGGCATGGGAATGTGCTATATATATATATATATATATATATATATATATATATATATATATATATATATATATATATATATATATATATATATATATATATATATATATATATATATATATATATATATATATATATATATATATATACAGTATATACCTGTATGTGTGTGTGTATTATCTATGAGTCACAGTTCCTCCCTTTTCAGACTATGGGGATTTTTCTAAGCACGTGGTGGTAGGTTAGCCAATGTTTCTGTGTAGTATTTCATCATCCACCATTAGTCATGGGCATGACCGCTTGAGTTACCTGGTAGACATTTTGTGCTATGCCCATTTGTTGTTCCTTGTGTACTCATTGTTATACCATGTATTTTAGACCATATTAATTATCTATTACATTCCCATAAATAGTCCTACCTTCTCCCATTAAAACCTTGCATTTTGGTATATGTAAACTAGGTAAATAAAATAACTTTTAGGGTCAGGGCCCACAGGTTGTTTGGCTGTCTCCTCCCTCTGTCCTTCTCTGGCCTCTGGCCTGTAAACATGTCTGTCTGCCTCTTTCTTGTTTCTGACCCACCATGTGGTTAAGGTTTATCTTTCTTTTCTAGGGAATGTTAGGCGGGAGTCAGTGGTGCTTATGCTGAACTCTATCATAGCTGCTAGTCTAATATGTTGAATAGCAGATTGATAGAAATAATGTAAGATATTTAGTTAAGGAGTTATATATATATATGTTGCATTTAATTTAGGTAATATTTCGTTGATTTAATATTTAATAGTTACCTGAATTTTAAATAATTACTCCTGATTTAAATAAGTCTTGTGCAAGTCTACATTCCTTTGTCTACCATGCATCCTACCAGCTACCGTTTAATGTCAAATTACCTGCCATCGTCAGTTCCTTAACGATCCTGACCAGAGAAACACAACACTCACCACCTTCAGTAAAAACCGGCGATCATGAAAGGGCTCACCAACTAAGCTCCACCATTAATTCCTGACCTCCATCCACATAAACAAACCTTGAGTATCAATTTATATTGTAGGATATCCTAACTTTATACTTTGTACATAATCTAAACTCTGACATTGTCACTCAAAGTAATCACCCATTTCGAGTGTTTATTTACTTCTTATAACGTAATGTAAACATTTTTTTTGTCGTGATAACAACCAATTTAGGACAAACTCCAAATTAGGTAGGAGGTGCAATTATATAATGTCTTGTACTTTTTAATTGCAAATAAATGAAAAAAAGGTAGATTTATCTAGGTGTTTTTGTTGGTCCTTTTCGCCCAGGATTTTATTCTTCAGCCATGACTGAGTATTTGGGTACACCTAAAGACTATTTCATGAAGTCTTCCCTACTTAAAGCTAACCATAGCAGTATATCGCTGTTGTCCAGCTCTGTGTCTTTTGGGGTGAGCTTGGGTGAGACATACGGTTGTGATAGGACCTAGTTTTAATTTCATTCATCCATCCCAGTCTCTGCCTTCCCCTGGTCCCCCTACCCCAAACTTTGCCCTTTAACATTTCGGTTATTATCCCCTCATCTCCAATTTTATTACCAAAGTATCTAATTTTTCCCTTTTTTTTACATTTCAAGTATTTCTCTTGAAGTTTTAGCTAGCCTCAGTACTTCTTCATTCGTTTTCCTGTCAGTATAACTAATTCCATTCGCCTATAACACCACATTTCAAAGGCCTCCAACCTCCTTCTGGTGTCTGCTGAAAGTGTCCACTCTTTTGACCCATACAACGGTCCTTACTGTATAAAGCCTTTCAGTAGCCTTCATTTCTCAAATTGAAGTTAATATCCCTTTTCATTATTTTTTTTTATTATTAAATGCTGTTTTTGCTTGACGTATTCTTGTTATGATTTTTTCACACATCAACCATCCTAGCTAATGTTATTTCCAAAATTCACAAACTTTTCCACTTGTTTAAGTTCCCTGTTGCCTACCATAATTTTTATTTTAGGATATTTTTGTTTTCAAATTGGAAACAACAATACATTAGTCTTACAGTATTAACTCTTAACTCATTTCCTTCATCTTTTTTTCACTAATCTGTTAACGATTTTTTGTAATGCCTCTTCATTATCTGTGATAAGAGCAATATCATCTGCATAACGTTTATAATTTATAACTTCTCACATATAGAATTCTGAATGTATATTGTACCATATTGGAGATAGACCACTGTTTTGTCTTACTTCTTTGTAACTATTAAATTGTTGTCCTGGTCCTTGTTCATCAAAGTTGCCCTCTAGGAATACTTCATATTTTATCCCTGCCCCTGTTTTAAGCTAACGTAAGCCCCATTTGATTTTGCCCATAATTGTTCTTTTTTAATTTTGGGGGTTTTATCCTCACTAAACTCATTACTGGAACGTGGTCTGGCTGAAATTAGAATGTAATTTTTTGATTCCAGAATATGTTGTTTACATTGTCCTGGAGTGAGACCCATGTATAGCGATGCCTAGGGTGTTGCTCAAACCATAAATTTGCAATTGTTTTCCTTGCAAAGGTCAATTAATATTTTTCCTCTCTTATTTTTATTACCCAACCCATGTGGTCCTACTTCCGGTGCTACTTTCACTTTCCCAACTTTAGCGTTAACATCACCCATTATAATCACACAATTATTAAACTTCACGGTGTGTTTTGCTTTTTTTAAATCCTCATAAAAATTTTCTAAGACTTCATCCTAACTATCATTTGATGGTGCATAAACCTGTCCATGGGCTTAGCATTAAACTTGACTAACAAAACTCTATTTATCACTGCCCAATATCCCTGTACACTAATGCTCAACTTATGGTTTACTGTACAAGAATACCAACACCTCTCATGTTTTTCACCACCTGAATATATGAAGTAAGAATCTTCATCACCAATGTTATTTGAACCTGTCCATCTTGCTTCACTTAATCACAGAATGTCCCACTGTAATCTTTTCGTTTTCTTATAAATATTTGCATATTTCCCATATTCATAGAATGTGCTCACAGTCCATATTTCAATCTTTATTTGTGCTTGTTCATTCTTAATCGTTCCGTCGTGTTTAATACCCAAGGCTTTGTTTAGCTTGGACAGTACTTGATACTTTATATAGGGTCCAGAAGGTGCCCTGTCTGGTCTTATTGTCAAGTTCTTGAAAGTAGCAAGTTTACAGTACATGTTTTTATTGTTATTATTATGATTAGTGTTGTAGATCTTAGTGTTCTTGTTTATATTATGATAATAGCTATTTATAATTACTATTTTATTGATATATGACTCATTTGAACACATGGTAGTGTGGTAGTAAAAAAAAATACAAGCATACGTTGGAAATTGTACTTTTGACACGTGACTGGTGAGGAAGACTGTTAGGTCTTAACACCTGTGAAGTATAAAACTTTTGTGTTACATTTACTACCAAACTTTCTTATTATGTTATTGGTATTATCATTATTGTAATTATCTCTAGTTATTTTTACTATAGTAATTTTTTTCATTCTCCTGTTTGTCATCCGTCTGTAAGTGTTGGCTAGAATGGGAGTCTCTTGTCACTTGCTGTTGTTGGTGTTGTTGTTCTGGATTGTTGATATGTGAACCTGAACGTGTTCCCCAGTCTCCCTACAGTAGTAAATACAGTGTCCATATTTGTTTGGAAGGTCGCCGGTCAAATGTGAGTGATAAAGGTCTACAGTACAGACAGGCTAGTGATGTAGTGGGAATTTAGTGACTATAGAGTCACCAAACGGTATTATATTTAGGTATTTTTCTTCCTCACACTGTGGTAATGTCAGGAGTTACTAGGATCATTGTATCATGAGTGTCAGAAAATTTATTTAGGATTTTTCTTCTATTAGTTGATTGGCAACAAAATCACATTATACAGTTCATCCCATTATTGAATATCATCCGCACTCACAGATTATTAAACTACTGTAACTTAACCTAACATACCTATAGTGAACTCATTTAGACTGTAAACTTGAAATAGAGAAATTGTTGAATGAAAGTAAGAGACTTTTTCATATAAGCAACCATTTTCAGGAATTTATAACAATAATAGTAAAAAGTTATGTAGATTTCATAAGAGTCGGCTATATTTTAATCCAAAGTTCATAACTAAAAACACTTGCTTAACATCTAATATAAAAAAAATATCAAGATCAATAATAAGATTTTTTTCCACATACAATCATAACATTACTTTATTCATCTGGGATTAATTATTAAAGTCAGTGAAACACAACCATTGAGAGACAGAAACACACCTGAGCAGCGGAGAGGAAGTGGCCGTGGATGTGGTTAAGTACCGTGGGGGCTGCAAGCTGTGACGCCTCCCCTCAACCTGCGCCACCATGA